CTACTAGTCCGTTTCCTAAAATAATATGAACTCCTTCAATTGGCAAGGCTGGTCGTACTCCCACTGCAACCTCACCTTGAATCAATTCAGACTGAAGTCTTACCTTAGGAAGAGGCAGAGGCAGAACATTCAGTCCTATTCCCCTAATTAACACGTTCTCACCAGTATGGGATAGCGAGGAAAACGGCAGAACTCATCAAGGCAGTGCATGACATTATCTGCCCCTGTATTCGTTGGAAGTTCTTTGCAAAATAGCAGATCTTCAGAAAGATTACTGTTCATGCAGTATCGGACAAAAACTAACAGTAACGCGGCGTTGCTTATGTCCGTCGATTCGTCCAGCTGTATGGCAAAATAAGAGCTTGCCTTTATTCGTTCCACGAGTTGGCATTCAATGTCATCGCTCATGTCAACAATTCGTCTAGCCACGGTGTCATCGGAAAGTGGTATTGACTGAATTTTGGTTGCAGCTGCATCACCCAGTAACTCTCGACACATATCCACAGCACTTGGCAAAATAAGTTCCTCAGTGATAGTAAAGGCTTTCTTACTACGAGCAACACGAGTGGCAACCATATAGCTAGCTTTCAAGGTGACTTTTGATTGAGTTGATAACGATATTATGACTTTTTGTTGAGCCTGAATCCCATCTTTTTTCCTTAGAAAATATTCTTTTGGGTTCCCCACACAACCCGGGTGTTTTGAGTTCAAATGTCTCTGCAGCTTTGATGGTTTTAGCGCCTCATTTGACAAAATTTCTCCACATTCAACACACTGAGCCTTCGGCTTAGTCTCAGTACCTGCCCTTGGCCCACCGGTTGAGAATCACTGGTGTAGAGTATCTCACAGTCGTTGTGGATTAAGTGAACATAAACAGGTGGGTGAAAACTGAATGTGTGTCAGTATTACATGCATGCCTTCCGTCTTAAAGGGACAGTATTCCTAATTAAGTACCTATCGTGTCATTAATGTTAACCAACAAAAGATGTTAAATAAATGTTAAGTAAACCTACTTTTTCTGAAAAATGAGTTTAATTTGTATCTCTTTCGTATTTGTCTTATTGTCTTATTCTGCTTGTTTTTTAGCAGAATTTAATGATTATTTTTGTTTGAAGACTAAATATAAAATAGCTACCAAAATAAATGTTGGTAACTGCAGTTTAACTAAAAGTAATGACTAAAAGTTCACAAAAATGCAATGACTTTTCGTTGACTAAAACTAGACTAAAACTATGAAAGACTCAAACGACTAAAATGTGACTAAGACTATTAAACATTTTCGTCTCAAGATAAAGACTAAGACTAAATCAAAAATGCCTGTCAAAATTAACACAGGTGTGCATCAC